TTTTACTTATTGATGGTTATTACTAAATTAGATAATATTTCCTCAAAGAACTTGCTCAGAATTAGTGTAATGATAGATAATTATATAAATTAGTACTGATATTACAAAGAATTAGTGAAATAAATTCATTCTGACAAAAATTTATGGTTATGACAACCTTGAAGGTAAATCTGTCTGAGTAACTTAAGTTGAATATTATAAAATATGTTTAATTTAGGGAATAGAAGTAACATGTTTTAAAAGTGAAACTACAGCTAAATTAGGAGCTCTTGTAGCAAAGTGCCTAAGGCACTTGACTGCTAACCAGAAGCCTGGCAGTTCAAACCCACTAGCCACTCCTCGGAAAGAAGGTTGGGCAAACTACTTCCATAGTAATACTGCCTCAGAAACCCAAGGAGGGGTCGCTATGAGTCAGTCCGACTAGATGGCACATAACAACAACATAGCTAAATTGGTTGCATTTTGTCTTTAACGTGTAAATGAACTAATAAATCTCTTCTTGTCTTTAAATGCAAGCCCAAGGTAGGAAGGAAAGGCAAGATCAGGCTTCTTTAGCCAATGAATGAGAAAAGCTTTTAAAATGTTGACTCTGTTAGACAAAAAAGAATAAGGAAAAATGCTATTATATTATAATTATAAGAAGTTTTGATAGATCGCCATCATGGTGGAACCATGAGCAGACTCTCTCCATTATAAGAAAATTAGAAAGCCAAACAGAGATTACACGTGGGAGAGTCTTGAGAAATATTTCCATCTCAAGCCAGAGATATGAAGTTATATGTATGCAATCATTTGGGCAAAAACTTTATAATTTCCAAAACTAGTTCCCCAAACTAGTTAGTACAATTTTAAAGGGCTCAATTTAGATTTGGGGAAATAAAAATAAACCAAACTCACTGTCGTCAAGTCGGATCTGATTCATAGCAAACCCTTCCTTGAGTTTCCAAGGTGTTATCACTACCAAGTAGATTGCCCAACCTTCCTTCCAAGGAGTGGCTGGTGGTTTGAACCACTGGCCTTCTGGTTAGCAGTCTGGTTAGTAGCCTTAGGCACTAGGCCACCAGAGCTCCTGTAGGAACAAGAGAGGCAGAGAAAATCTTTCCCTGGAGGTGGCACTCTGACCTCAGACTTCTGGCTCCTAAACCAGTACTTGTTATAGCAGCCGTAGAGAACTAAGACAATGACCTTATTTGTAAACACTAAATTTTGCCAGCTTCTGTAATTTTTTTTCTATTCACGCGTGTTTTTCTTTATATGTGTTATAAACATACATTTTATGTCCTTTTACCCAAATAAATACTTGGAAACGGGAAAAAAGAAAAAAAAAAAGGCAAATAACTGTTTAAAACTCCCTTTTCATTTGAACTTGGCTTGTAACACATTCCCCAGGAGAAACCAGTTTTGCACTCCACAGGGAACAAGGGATGAAACTGACTTGACTTGCATATTGGGAAGAAAAAGATAGGGTGTAGCCAAGAACTTTGCATATGAAGTGTTGCTGAGACCGTCAGGTAGGCCAGCTGTGGTTGGTGAGCGTGTCAGCCTGCGTGACTATAAAGCACCTGTGTCCGTCTGCCGCTGCCAGCTTGGGGTTATCCAGGTGTCTAAGTGATTGCTCCTTTTTTATAAAGCTATTCTCTCCTTTTGGAGGCACTTTTTTTCCTGGACTGATGCCTTCCCTCCACAATTCTAATGAATTGATTTTTTTTGTGAATGGAAGAAAGGTAAGTTATGACATGATTAATATGAATTTTCCAGTACCAAGGATAAAAGCCAAGCTTTTTTTTTTTTTTTTTTTTTTACTATGACACTCTTTCCTATTGCTTTAATCTCCCTCTTTTGTCTTTTTCAAGTCATATAGAGTAGTTGGTGCAAAAGTATTAAAGTGCAGGGACTTTTGCTTACTGTTTATCTTTCTTTTGGATTCAGTAATAAACTCTTAATTTTATTTGTTACAATGGGCATGAATTCAGGACACAGATATGGAAAACTATGTGGAGAAAAGTCTTTATTTGGATATCAGCTTTACTTGGATTCATCAATGCTATTTTAATAGAAGACATATATGACATTGAGGATGATAATAGCAGTTGTTGTTCTTGTTATGTGCCCTCTGAGTGGGACCCAACTCATAGCGACCCCTCCTTGGGTTTCCGAGGTGGTATCACTAGGGAAGTAGATTGCCAACCTTTCTTCTGATGATAATAGCAGAGCACTTTTAAATGATTTTGTTTTGCCTCAGTGAATGACCTCAGGCTGGTCAATTAACATAGAGACTTGAAGTGTCTCCACCCTGGCCAGATGTTACTTTCTCCATTGCAGATAAGATGTGACAATTCTTAATGGCTAGCCTATCCCAATAGGAGCCCTGGTGGAGCTGTGGTTAAGCATTTGGCTATTCACCTAAAGAGATGGGAGAAAGATGTGACAGTCTGCTTTCATAAAGATTAAAAAAAAAAAACCTCACTACCATCAAGTCAATTGCAACTTGTAGCAACCCCCACTGGGTTTCTGAGGCAGTAAATCTTTACAAAAGGAGATTACCCCATCTTCCTTCCACAGAGTGGCTGGTGGGTTTAACCCACCAACCTTTTGGTTAGCAGTCAAATGCCCTGGGCACTGTGCCACCAGAGCTCCTTTCATACCTTGGAAACCCTCTGGGGCAGTTCTACTCTTGTCCTATAGGGTTGCTATAAGGATACACTAAAAGTATTGTATCATAAGTTTCCTGTTGTTTCTTTTTAAATTTTTTTCCCTAAATTTTATATATTTCATTGTTGTTGAGAATATATACAGCAAAATGTGCGCCAATTGAATAGGTTTTACATGTGCAGTTTAGTGACTCTGATTATGTTCTTCAAGTTGTACAACCCTTCCCACCCTCCTTTTCTGAGTTGTTCCTCTCTAACATAAACTCACTGCCCCAAAGACTCCTATCTGATCTTTTGAGTTGCTGTTGTCAATTTGATCCCACAGAGAGAGTTCTGAAAAAAGCATGGTGCTCAAGGCAGACCTTTTGAACTCACCAGCCACTCCATGGGAGAAAGACGTGGCAGTCTGCCTCTGTAAAGAGTTACAGCCATGGAAACCCTGTGGGTCACTTCTACTCTGTCCCATAGGATCACTATGAGTTGGAATTGACTCTATGGCAGTGAGTTTGGGTTTTTTGGTTGTCTTTTTTTATATAAGTGAGGTTGTACAATACTTGCTCTTTTGAGATTGTTTTAATTCACTCGGCATGTCTTCTCTATCCACACTGTAGCATGTAGCAAGACTTATTTCTCCTGCTGGCTCAGTAGTATTTTCTTGTATACATGTACCACATTTTGTTTATCCATTCATCTGTTGATGGGCATTTAGGTGTTTCCACCTTTTGGCTATTTTGAACAGTGCTGCAATGAACATTGGTGTACAAGTCTCTTTTTGAGTCTCTGCTTCCAGGTGTTTTGGGTATATACCTAGCAGTGAAATTGGTGGTTCATATAGTAGTTCTGTTTTTAGGTTTTAGAGGAACCACCACTGTTTTCCACAATGGCTGGCTCAACCATTTTGCATTCCTACCGGCAATGGATAAGGCTTCCAATTGCCCCACATCCTCATCAGTATTTGTTATTTTCTGTTGTTGTTTTTGTTTTGTTTTGTTTTGTTTCCTTAGCCATCCTAGTGGGAGTGAAATGGTTTCTGACTGTGGTTTGGATTGGCATCTAGTATTTTTTATTTTTTTATGATTTGCATCTCTTTGATGGCTAATGACACAGAGCATCTTTCCATGCATTTGGTGATCATTTGAATATCCTCTTTGGTAAAATATGTGTCCAAGTCTTTTGCACATTTTATGATTGGATTATTTGTCACTTTGTTGATAGGTTGTCAAAGTTGTATATATATTTTTGGTTATTAGATTCTTGTCAGATACATGGTTTCCCATGTATTTCCCAGTAAGCAGCTTGTCTTTTCACATTTCTGGTAAAGTAGTTTAATGAACAAAAGTTTTTTTCATTTTTATGAGGTCCCATTTGTTTATTTGTCTTTTGCTGTTTGTGCTTTGTGTGTGTGTGTGTGTGTGTGTGTGATTTGAGTAAAAGTTAACAGAGCAAATTCAATTTCCTTTTGACAGTTAATATACATTTTGTTTCATGACATTGATTCTAATCCCCATAAGGTAAAAGCTCTCTTCGCACTTCCTCCCTGTGGTTTTCTTTTTCTGGTGTCTTTCTTTCCTATGCATTCCTGCCCTCTGAGCTATTTCCCTGTGCAAATGCTGCCCTACTGATCGTCTATGGTTGACTGTTCTAAGTAGTGTACCTACCTCGTGTAATTATTCACCTTGTAGGCCTGTCTATTGTTTGGCTGGAAGCCATGGGAATAAGTTCAATTCCAGGCCCAAAGGGTGACTACAGGCCACAGTCTCAGGGGTTTTACAAGTGTCTACCAGACCAGTAAGTCTGGTCATTTTTATGATTTTGAGTTTTGTTCTACATTTTTCTCCCACTCTATCCAGGATCCTCTATTTTGAACCCTTTACAAATGGTTGACAGTGGTAGCCAGGCACCATCTAGTTCTTTTGGTCTCAAGGTCATGTAGGCTGAAGTTCATGTGGTCCACTAGTCCCTTGCACTAATTGTTTCCATAAGTCTTTGATTTTCTTCATTCATCCTTGCTCTGGACAACCCTACAGCCATCGAGTCGGACCCGACTCATAGCGACCCCTCCTTGGGTTTCCAAGGTGGTATCACTATGGAAGTAGATTGCCTAACCTTCCTTCCAAGGAGTGGCTGGTGGGTTTGAACCGCCAGCCTTCTGGTTAGCAGTCAAGTGCCTTAGGCACTACGCCACCAGAGCTCTGGAATCCCCATCATGCATATATTAGATTTCTTGCTTTGTACAATATTTCCACTTAACTGTGTTCAGCCTTCTGGAGCCTCCATTCTTAATGCTCTTCAGTGTCTGTGGTTTTAACTCTCTTATCCTCTAACTTGCTGATTCTTTCTTCTGCCTGATTAAATCTGTGAGTTAATCCTTGTTGTGTTTCTTATTTCAGTTATTATCTCTTTCAGTTGCTATATCCTCTTTTTCTGGGATTAATTGCTACCTTTCTGTGTAAGTTTCTCTCTGACCTCCCTTTCCAATCTTGCCTGATTGTACACAGGAGAATAGCCTGGGTAACTGCAGGGCTGAGAAAGGCAGATAGCTTCCATCTCAAGTGCCAGCTTTGATCTATTGGCAGTAACAGCTTGAAGCACAATCAGACCAGCAGAGCTGAGATTCAAGCCCCTTCTTCTTTTCCTTCACAAAGTGGCACCTGCAGTTCACTGAGGAGGAAACAAGAGTGGCTCTCTCATGACATTAGTGGCACAGATAGAGAAAAAAAAAACCTTTATTTTAGGAAATCTGACTAACTTTTTTAATAACTTTCTATAGCCATTACTTATATGAACTAATTTTGGAATCTATGTATCTTTTTGCAAACCGGGTTCTTTCCAGGTTGGTCTGAGGCAAAACAATTCAGAATTTACAATTATCATATATATTGAAAAATTCAGAGACATTGAAATAATGTTCCATAATTTCATCAGAATTCTTGTTCCAAGGTTTAAAAAGGTTTTCTGTGTAATTTTTTCCCCCTGTATTATATATTGTTTTTCCCTGTGTTTTGATTGCTTCGCACCATTCTAGAAGAAGATAACTACAAATAGGTGAGTTTAACAAACAGGAGTTTATTCTCTTACAGTTTTGGAGGCTAAAAGTCCAAGTTCAAAGTGCCAGGCTTTAGGGGCTGGGTGAAAGCCCCTCAACCTTGGGCTTCAGCTCTGCCTCTTGCTTCTGGCCCACTGGAGCTGGAGGCTTTCTTCACTCAAGCAGTTGCTGGCTGCTAAGGCTGACAAACCCAAGGTCAACAAGTAAAAATGTTACCAAATCACATTAAAGACCATTGATTCATGCCCATTAAGAATCCCAAGATCGGCAGACAACATGGCAAGTTGCTGAACAATGACTTGGCTACATGCAGAATTCAAGTATGTCAAAAGTTACAGACCAGTCCCAAAACTTTTTCTTAGATACTGGAAGCAGACTACATTCCTAGAGCAGCTACTCAGCTGCTTGTGGCAGATTCCACCGTGGAGCTGATTACTTGTCTCATTATGGGGAATACCTATAAGCAGCTGCCCAACCTGCTCAAAACCTGGTCTAGCTGAGTTGACACAAAACCTTAACTACCACATCCTGTAAAACTACTGAAAAACACCAAACTCACTGCTGTCAAGTCAATTCCAACTCATAGAGGCCCCTCCTCGGGTTTCCAAGGCAGTGGCGTAGTGCCTAAGCCATTTGACTGCTAACCAGAAGGCTAGCAGTTCAAACCCACTAGCCACTCCTCAGAAGGAAGGTTGGGCAATCTACTTCTATAGAGATACCACCTCAGAAACCCAAGGAGGGGTTGCTATGAGTTGAATTGACTTGATGGCAGTGAGTTTGGGTTTTTTTGTTTTTTGGTTTTTTTTTTTTTTTTTTAATCTCTACAGAAGTAGATTGCCCAATCTTCCTTCCGAGAAGTGGCTTGTGGTTTTAAACTGCCAGCCTTCCGGTTAGCAGTCAAATGCTTTAGGCACTTCACCACCAGAGTCAAAAAACTTGTTCCCAAAACAACAGGATTGCCATAATATGTTGATATACTCTTCCTAAAATCCCTTATCTCATTTCATAACATAGGTGAAAGAAGAAAATGCTGATCCAGAAGTAAATCTGCTGTTCTACCTGAGGAAAGTCCATATCCTTATCTTTTATTGTAGTTGATCTGGGTTGGATGGTAAAAAAATAAATAAATAAACATGCTAAAGACTTCTCAAGAAAGCCACTCTGTATTTGCTCCAGGCATATGAACTTGTACAAGATTTATAGGGTATAACTAGATTTCACAGAATGGTTTTTAAATGATAGATTTTTTTCCCTTTATTATACTTTTTTTTTTCCTGAGGAAGTCAAAAGAATTATCCAGTGAACCAGGAGTGTGCTAACTTTGGAAGTAACTTTGTGACTTTTAGTCACCCTTATGACTATTTTATATTCAAGAGCGTTAGTGCAAATATGTCTAGACTTTTGTCCAGCCAAATGTTCAGAAGTGCACGTCACTGACACTAGTTTGCCACAACAGCATCCTTATGAAAGAAAATGAAGTTTTATAAATATATCTTAACATTCCAAAATACAGCTAATGCATTCTTGACTCTCCACCTCCGATCCTGACATTTGTTCACTGCCTAGTCCTCCAAGAACTTCAACAGTCCTTCAATAAATATCTATTCAAAAATAATTTAGTGCACAGGAGAAATACCTGGTGATCTTCCCCTATAAAGATTGCAGCCTAGAAAGCCCTGTGGGGCAGTTGTATTCTGTCCCATGAGGCTACTATAAGTAAAAATCAACCTGACAGCACTTAATAACAACTATGTCATAAATAACTAGTTCTGAGTACTTGCCTAAGATTTTCAGACCCCAACATTTGATTACAGAGTCAACAGTCTGGGGTATGTCCACCTGTTCCAAAAATAGGTACTTTGATAAATAGATAAACAAGGAGTGAATATTCAGAAAACCACAGATTTTCTGCCAAAGTTGTTCCCCAACACAGCCATATTTTCATTGACCTACTTCACTTTCATAGGCCTTCCTTGTCCCCTTCCAAAGCCCTATACCTAAATTTATATTCATAGTTGTGCATTTTTTTCCTTAAAGTGAGTCCCCAATATTAGAAAAACATCAAACTCCCACAAAACCCCAATTTACTACTGACTTGAGACCTGACTTACATGTCATTCCCAGAGTGGAATACAGTCACTCAAAGAGCAAAATTTGTTTTGGAAACATTGCTATCCGTCTTCCACCTTTCTACTCCTTCCCTTCTGTGGTGGTTATGTTGTGTGTCAACTTGGCTGGGCCTGGTTGAGTGGCTGGACAGCTGGTGGTAGTTATTCCCCATGATGAGACTGGCAATCAACTCCATGGTGGGATCTACCACAAGCAGCTGAGTAGCTGCTTTGGGAATGTGGTCTGCTTCCTGTATATAAGAAGCAGCTTTGGGAATGGTCTCTGGCTTATGGCACGCGTGGACCCTGCACGTAGCCATGTCATTCAGCAGCCTGCCATGCTCTGCCGACCTTGGGACTTAAATGGACTTGAGTTAATGGCCTGTGGTGTGGTTTGGTGACATCAGGACTGTGCCTTTTTACTTGTCAACCTTGGACTTGACAGCCTCAGCAGCCAGCAGCTGTCTGAGTGAAGAAATGCCTCTAGCTCCAGCGGGCCGGGAGCTAGAGGGAGAGCTGAAGCCCAAGGCTGAGGGGCTTTCACCCAGCCCCTAGAGCCTTGTACTTTGAACTTGGACTTAACGCCTCCAAATTGTAAGAATAAACTCCTGTTTGTTAAGGCCATCCCATCTGTGGTATGTTTCCTGTCAGAGCAGCACTAGAAAACCAGAACACCTTCCCAAGGTCACAGGATACTTCAGAAGCCCACAGTCTCCCACTAAGTCACCCAACCCATCCTAGTAGCCCTGTCTAGACTTGCCCTACAACAACTTTTGAGCTTGGTTTTAGGCAATCTGATTTGCAAAACCCAGTAATGCACCACAAAGAGTGAATGGCCCTCTGCAACTTGGGGAAAGCAGGGCGTGACTGTGAAATCTAGCTCAAGCATAAAACTGGTGAAATAAGATGTCTCAGAGGCAACCCTAAATGCTTGGCCTTACTTTCCTGCTCCCTTCACACACCTTTCACTGCAGCCCTGACACTTTTGAAGTTCTCAAAACGATGCATACTTCATTCCATCAATAAATGTGTTGAGCACCCAGGAGTTCAAAATTTAGCTACATCAACATAGCCTTTGCCCTCAGTCTAGTAAAGAAGATAGCCAGTGAACAGGCACATACACCCAGTAGGATAAGTGCCATGTTGTTAAGACACAGTGCAAGGGCACTCAAGAGACTAGGATTGAGTAGGAGCTTGCCTGACAAATGGAGGGCTTGTGGGTAAGGATATTCCAATCAGAAATACAGGGAGCCAGAGGCAAGAGAATGGAGTGTTTTTGAGGAACTGAAAAGAATTTCGTTTGATGGAGATAAAAGGTTGGGGGTGGGAATGGAAGGATGTAGCAAAAGATGAACGGGGAGAAAAGATCCTTGAGAGTTTTGGCAAAAGACCAGGTCTTACCTCAGTGTAACATCCCCAAGATTTTGCACCCTGCCTGGCACAGAAAGAACACACTCATTGGGAAACAATCAGATTCCTATGCAAAGTCCAGGTTCAACTGTACACATTGGCCATCCCATTTAATCTCAGGATAATTTCTTCTGGGTACATTGTAGAATTGTGTATCTTAGAGTCACTGATAAAGCTCTTCATATGTAATAAATGAAAACAAACAAACAAAATATTGTTCGTATTTGACCCAAGATACAAACCCACCGCCATTGAATTGATTCTGACTCATAGCAATCCCCCTTGGGTTTCCAAGGCTGTAAATCTTCACAGAAGTAGATTGCCCCATCGTACTGCCTCAGAGCAGCTGGTGGGTTTGAACTGTTGGCCTTCTAATTAGCAGCCAAATGTCTTAGCCACTGTAGTGTCAGAGCTCCTAAAAATACAGCACTTCCAGTTAAATTTGACATATTAAGCTAAACATGTCATAAGACATATTATGGGAGCTCTGGTAGCATAGTGGCTAAGACACTTGCCTGCTAACCAGACGGCTGGCGGTTCAAACCCACCAGCCACTCCTCAGAAGGAAGGTTGGGCAATCCTACTTCCGTAGTGATACTGCCTCGGAAGCCCAAGGAGGGGTCGCTATGAGTCGGGTTTGACTCGACGGCACATAACAACAACAACAACAACAACAAGACATATTATACTAAAATATTGTTCATTGTTTATATGAAATTCAAATGTAACTGGGCATACTATATTTTGTCTGGGAATACCACCTAATGATGAGCTTTTGCATGTGTCTACAGATTACAGAAATAGCTGTTTGAGTTGGTACTTCCCGTAAAGTTTGAGGGGATCAAAATAATTGTTCAGTATCCAGACAAAACAGCTGGTCAAATTAATTTTTCACTTTTACACAGGGACAATGCTAAAACATGCATCACAGCGCTATTTCAAAGTCTGACTAAGTGAAAAGTGACCTACTTCTTTGAGTCAGACAGCACCTGAATTCCTTTACTTGGAAATTTCAAAGGCCCAGGTGAAGGGTTTCCTTGTCTTTTATGTTCTATTACATGGAGCATTCTAACTAAGGGAACATTGGCAGTTCAATGGTAGAATTCTCACCTTTCTGATGCTGTCCAGATTTCAGCATATCTTCCAGACTAAGACAGACTAGGAGAAAGCTCTGGTGATCAACTCCTGAAAATCAGCCAGTGAAAACCCTATGGTGATAATAGTCCAACCCACAACCAATCACGTGGCTGGCACAGGACTGGGCAGGATTCAATGGCAGCTAACAACATCTAAGACATTAGCCACTTGAATTTCAGCCCTCTAACTGAAGGTAAAAAAACTTAACTTGACAAAGCAGTCTTGAGCCCTAAAATGTTCTTTATTCCAGAAACCAGGAGTGTCCTGACCCTGCATTACCTCTCCATGCTCAGCAGTTTCCAAGATGAAAATTTGTCTTCACATCCACCCAAGCCAATTATGACCTCCACCCATGAAATCCCTTTTGAACGTCATCATAAGTTCCAAGTTTCATAAGGTTCCAAGCAAATCCTAATAGATTCTTCTAGAACCTTAGCAGGGGGTTTACAAACATTGTTTACTCTCCCTTTGTGAATATATGCAAACATTGTACAGGGAAAAGATGGTGCACATTGATTGTTGGCATTCCTGGCTCAAAAATCATGGTTATTAAATTAATAATCCTTAATCCCATAAAATGGTAAAAGCATTACATTGTAAGCCTCATGCTAAGTGCCACACATTCACCATCTCCACAGCAATCACATTACATGGCTCTAGGACCTACTATCCACAACTCTGAAATTCAACAGGTTTTTTCTTAACTGACTTGTATGCAACACTTGACTGACGTGAGGCTCTTTGTAGTCTTCATGTATCCCATTTTGTATGATTATCTACATGGTTCACTGAAGAAATATTAATGTTGGATCAAAAGCTGCTACCCTAGACCCCACTGCAAGTGCTACATTATTACTTTTATAAATTCTGAAAAATTTTGAGTTCATAACTGCCAGGTTTTCAGATAAGGGAATGTGAGCTCTAAGGATTTCTTCTTATCCTGTGCTTATTTGTAAGCAAAAAACTGAAGAAAGATTCAAAGCAGCATATCTTGGTGGGCTTGGTATAAACCACAATAAACGTATTACTGGTTATTAGTATCAAAGCAAGAGAAATACAAAAAAAGCAGAATGGGCCCCTCTTTTCCTTGACCCCCTTCAAGTCCATCTCACAGGTACTAAATATGCTTGTGGAGGAGGAGGCTGCGGTGCCTGCACAGTGATGGTGTCAAGATAGAACCCCAAGACCAAGAAGATCCAGTATCCTTTGTGTTGGCCTGTGGTCCTGCTCTGGGCACATCTGGGAGGGTGTGGCATCTAGCACTTTTTTAAAAACTTTTTATTGTGATTTGGGTGAAACTTTGCTGAACAAATTGGTTTTCCATTCAACAGTTCCTACACATCTTGTTTTGTGACATTGACTGTAATCCCCACAATGTAACAACACTCTTTCCACTTCCTGTGTTTACTATTTCCCTTCATCCCTCTTTCCCATCCCTTCCAGCCTTCTGAGCTTTATCCCTGGGCAAATGCAGCCGTTTTAATCTTCTTTAGTTACTTGTTCTAAGGAACACCCTCCTTCCTGGTGTTATTGTTTACCTTATAGGCTTAGCTAAGACATTTGACTGCTAACCAGAAGGCTGGCAGTTCAAACCCACCAGCCACACCTCAGAAGGAAGGTTGGGCAATCTACTTCTGTAGATTCGGAAACCCAAGGAGGGATCATTATGAGTTGAATATTCTCAATGGCAGTGAGTTTGAGTATCGTTTGGCTAAAAGTTGAGCTACAGGGATGAGTTCAGTTCCAGGCCTAAGAAGTATTTAAGGCCATATTCTCGGGGGCTCCACCGGTCTCTGTAAACCTCGTCTTTTTTTTATGATTTTGAGTTTTGTTCCATATTTTTTTCCCCCACTGTATCCAGGACCTCTTACTGTTATCCTTTTCAGAGCAGTTAGCAATGGTAGCCAGGCACCATCTAGTTCTTCTGGTCTCAGGGTCATGGAGGCTGGGATCATGTGGTTCATTAGTCCTTTGGTCCAAGTATTTCCTTGTGGCTTTGATTTTCTTCACTCTTCTTTGCTCCAGACGGGGAAAGACCAATCGTTGCACCTTAGATAGATGCTCACAAGCTTTTAAGACCCCACTCACTACTCACCAAAGTAGGAGGAAAACAGTGTCTTTGTGGACTATATTATGCAAGTTGACTTTAGTGTCCCCCAAGACTATGATCCTGAGCCTCTAGGCCCAGTGACTCATTCCCTCAAGGTGTTTGGTTATGGCTAGAAGTTTTCATAACTTTGTCCCCTGTATGCTTTACTATTTTCATGGATATATTCACAGCATATGTAAATACATATGTTGAAATACACTGTGTCAAGTCTATATATATTCATGGATACAGTCCTAGTCATCTTCCCATCACTCTTCAGTTTGTGTGTCTATTTATTTATCTACTCATAGATTATTGCTATTATTGATATTGCAGGATCGGGTATGTTATAGCATTTACCTTTGTTGCCTTTAACTCTTGACCTAGCACTTTGCTTATCTGTCACTCACACTGCCTTTGGGCTGCTCTCTCTGCAGCTTCCAAAACTCCAGATCTTTCCCACAGGCTTTCTTCCCATTTGAATAGATCTGTGCTGTATTCCAGTCTCCCAGGGCTGCGCTTTCTATTTCTTCCTGAACACTTTCTTTGCTATTAAGTAGGAGATTTCAGGATGGGAGCTGGATGGGAATGCCTTGACACAAAGAAGTGATGATAGTCCTGGAAGAATATTCAGGTCTTCCATGCACACTGAGAAGAATAATTTGCCTGGCAGAGCTAAGTAAGACCTCAAATCATAATATATGCTTTGTTCATCTATTGATTGAGCCAGCATCAACTTCACCCACAAAATGTAAATTTGGCCACTTATAGAATGTGGCAGTGAAGCAGAAGGAGTCTGGGATGACTTGTAAGTTTTGGTCTTGGGTGACTGGGTGAATGGTGATACAGTTCACAAATTAGGGAATTTGCATGAAGAGAAGCATAGAAGGGGAAAGTAGTACGTTTAGCTTTGGACACATAGCATTTGGGGCAACTATGAGTTATCTAAGAAGAATTATCCAACAGGCATCTTGATTGACAAGTCTGTCATTCAGAAGAGTGGTCTCTCTGGAGCTATAATTTATTGGAAGATATTAACATAGATAATTTTTTAAATGATAACAAAAATAACTAGCATTTATTGAATGCTTGTTGTGTGCCAGACACTGTCCAAAGGAGCTTAGATATATTATTATATTTAATCTTTAAAACAATTTGAGATAGGCATTCCTACCATTCCTATTTTTAAAAAAGAGGAAACTGAAGCAACAAAAGTTAAGTAACTTGCTCAAGGTCATATGGGCCAGTCAGTGACAAGACCAGAATTTCAGCCCAGGAGGCCTGGAAGGTAACAGAAACTATAGGAAATCTGGTAAGTACATGACACTGTAGACTAACAATAGAAACGGAAATGGGCAAAGAAAGAAGCACCTGTAAACAGACTGAATAGCCAGACTGCAAGGAAGAACACCAGAGAACAGAAAGTCCAAGAGAGTAGAAGTGGGCAACACTATGAAACACCAGTGCCATTAAATTGCTCCCAGAACATTGTCAGCAGAGATGGGCAAGAAGGTGTGGTGGCACAGTTCAGGAGTGGTGGGAAGGCCAGTAAGCACAGGCAGCAAGTTGTGGACAGCTCTTTGAAAAGACTTAACTGTTAAGGGAAAGAAATATGAATCAGTAGCTGGAGAGAGATATGAGTTTGGGTTTTTGTTTTTGTTTTGTTTTTTTAGCAAAGCAAACGCTGGAACTTATTTCTTGGCCAAGGAAACAAGATTCTAGAAAGGAAGGGGTTAGGAGGACAGTTAATGATGGAGCAAGTGCCTGAGGAGACAAGAATGAGATTCAGAGCATAGTAGAGGAAGAGGAGGATTCCTCACGGAATGGAGATAAGACTGATTTCAATCATGGATGAGTTGCTGTGGCAGACTGGGGAGTTAAGGGAGGCCATGTCTCTAGGCCCTGGATGAGGCATGAGGTTAAGAATGAGGAGAACATTGAGCACTGGAAGAAGCACTGAGAGCAAAAGGAGAGGGAGATAAGATTGTTGTTGTTGTTGTTGTTAGGTGCTGTCGATAAGGCTCTGACTCACAGCAACCCTGTGTACAATAGAATGAAGCACTGCCTGGTCCTGCATCGGCCTCACAATCCTTGCTATATCTGAGCCCATCATTGCAGACCATCTTGTTGTGGCGCTTCCTTCCCCCTTTTCACTGTCTCTCCACTTTACCAAGCATGATATCTGGGGAATGGTCCCTTCTGATAACATGACCCAAGTAGGTGAGATGAAGTCTGACCATTCTCACTTCCAAGGAGCATTCCAGCTGTACTTTTTCTAGGACAGATTTGTTCATTCTTCTGGTAGTTCATGATATTTTCAGTATTCTTGGCCAACACCATAATTCAAAGGCATCAACTTATCTTTGGTCTTCGTTATTCATTGTCCAGCTTTCACATGCATATTAGGTGATTGCAAATACCATGGCTTGGGTTAGCTCTGGTGGTGTAGTGCCTAAGGCATTTGACTGCTAACCAGAAGGCTGGCGGTTCAAACTCACGAGCCACTCCTCAGAAGGAAGACTGGGCAACCTACTTCCATAGTGATACCACCTCAGAAACCCAAGAAGTGGTCGCTATGAGTTGGAAACTACTTGATGGCAGTGAGTTTGCTTTTTGGTTTTGGGTTAGCTGCACCTTAGTCTTCAAAGTGACATCTTTGTTCCTCAACACTTTAAAGAGGTCTTTTGCAGCATAGTTGCCAGTGCATATGATGTCTGATTTCTTGACTGCTGTTTCCTTGGGTGTTGATTGCAGATCCAAGTAAAATGAAATCTTTGACAACCTTGTCTTTTCTCCATTTATCATGATGCTGCTTATTGGTCCAGTTGTGAGGATTTTCATTTTCTTTATGTTGAAGTATAATCCATATTGAAGACTCTAGGCTTTGGTCTTCATTAGTAACTGCTTCAAGTCTTCTTCATTTTCAGCAAACAAGGTTGTGTCATCTGCATATCTCAGATTGTTAATGAGTCTTCCTCCAGTCCTGATGTTGAGTTCTTCTTCACATAGTCCAGCTTCTCAGATTATTTGCTCAGCATGCAGATTGAATAAAATCCAACCCCAATGCACACCCTTCCTGATTTTAAACCATGCAGTATCCCCTTATTCTGTTCAAACAACAGCCTCTTGGTCTATGTACAGGCTCCTCATGAGCATAATTAATTGTTCTGGAATTCCCATTCTTTGTAATGTTACCCATAATTTGTTATGATCAGATAAGATCAAGAGAAAACAAATCCCATTGGGGAGGAAATTAGAGAAAACAAAAGTTTATAAATTGCACAATGACTTTGCTCTGTTCAACAAGCAGTCTTCCAGTTCCCCTGTATAATCAGCTGGGTGGTTTCTAAACAAATGATCCAAAGAGCTAGTGAAACCAAAAGCACTCTGTCTCTTTCTTCTTCAGAAGGACAGCATTTATACTCTCAGCCTAGTAGGAGAAGAAAGGAAGAATTCCCTGGGAGTGAAACAAATTCCCATACCTGAAAAGAGTCTGAGACTTAGGCTAAGTGGGAATAAGGAGGCTAAATTTGACTGATGAGGTCTGGACCCCATTACAAACCAGTGAGATGAGAATCCGGTGCTGCCCACATCTGCTATGTCACTTAAATGGACTCTAAGGTGGGAAAGATGGTCAAGACAAGGGAATAAATCAGTGGCTCAAATCGGTAATGCATTTGGGTCATCTGGGGAGCTTTAAAAAATGATTAATTGATTCCACCCCATGTCTCTTTACATTCTGTACCAGCCATATGTAAGTCCTTTCTTGACCACATCCCAAAATGTATGATTCCATATCTAGTCTTCTCTGTATTCTCAGGGACATTCAGCTTCATGACTCTTCTGGACTATAAATAATTTCCCAAATTATGTCACCAACTTCCCAGGATTCCAATGTGTTCTCTTTAAATAATTCCATCACAGCCATTACCCAGCTACAGCTTGCCTGGTACCCATCTGCTCACTTCATGGAGCTGCTGTCACTACAGTAGAAGGTGTTGGAAGCATCAAGACCAGGATTCACTCTGTGCAGGTAAGAGAACTATGAATTGGGATGAGATGTGGATTCAGTCATTCCATAGATTCTAAAGTGCTCTAACTAGCTAAACAACTTTGAAATCCTTTATGCTTTTCAGTGCTTGTTTTATGACATTTGATGCTTCAGCGGCTGAGATTTTTAAGAGTTTAGTGCAGAGATTGGTTAACGTATCTTAACCCCAAGAGACCTTCTCTGTCCCATCCTTGCCTTAAGCTAATACAAGGACCAAAAAAGCAAATAAGATAGGTAACCAGAACTTTAGAGAAGGTACGAGTTGTTTCCGACATTTCAAAATCACTGACTTTGATAGAGAGGCTAATTATGTGTATAAATGCTCCTGAAATGTCTGACAAGAAACTGTAAACTAGGTGACAGTGAAGCACAACTGAAATGGCAAAGAGTTTACTAAAGTTTAAAAGACTCTTTATTTTTTTTTAATGGCAATGTTATTTTTATACAGTACAATGGGAACTTATTCAGGAGTTGAGTTTTAAAAGCAATGTGTAAAGAGAAAATTATGAATAGTCTCATTTTCCTGGCTATGGTTTGAACATAGAAGCTAAGAGCCTTCTCTGATGATGTGTTACCATTGATGGGCATTTACTTACGGAGCATGTCTTTCAGCCATAAATTTAACAATTGGCTCATCACCTTAAAACTATGGAAGCTTCTGATGTCGTAACTTACCAGGTTTCCCTCTCTCAAATCTCAGTGGTACAAACACTGAGTAATGCTGTTCAGTAATGCTGGGTCACAAGACCCAACTGTTAAATTGTCAGGAGTTTTGAGAGCCAGTTTTCAAGCAGTCGTCTTAAAAACTTATATGTGGCAAACTTACAATTAGGTAAGTTATACTAAGCACAAGGGTAATAAATATCAAGTCATCACTTCCTAATTTTTTACTATATTTTACTACTAGCTATGCTCTTGAGCTTATTTACATGGTTGAAATACCATATAATATATGTTGTTTCTCATCTCTTCCCAACTCCATATTCAGGGACATCGCATTGATAGCCATTGATAATGGAGTATTTATACTATGAAAATCAGCAGAAGCTGCATATCTCCCACAGAGCTAGTTGTTAACATTTACCAGCACATTTGCATCTGTGTTTACCTGCCTCATCTGAGACAACTTGCCATCTAGTAATAAAGCCAAGATAACCATATTCTCCTCTAGCATTAGAACAGATGTCTATTCCTTCAGCTGAGTTATGGATAAAATGCATGATTTCCATTTAGGTGCCATGATGTATGAAAAATATTTATTTAAAAACATTTGAATCACATGCAAGCCGGTGAGATGAGCACCCACAGAACCGATACACAGAGAGGGACACAGAAAGTCCTATCTCCCGTTACATCTTCATGACATAGGGTCTTTGTATAGAGTACACAGAGTGAATTGTCGTTTCTTCTCTCTTTTTTTATTGTTGTTGCTTTATTTGAGTGCATAAAGTTGAATGTGCATAAACGAAATATGTAAATAGTTCTATACTACTAAATAGCATGTGAAAACTTTCAAAGGATTCACACAGATAATTGTGTCATTTAGCCCATCAACAATTCCATAATATAGATGGAGAAGGGGATGAAAATGAACTGCATTAGAAGTTCATATGTGCCAGAGCAATAATTTGCATATATTCATTCATTTAATCTCAACAATCCTGTAAATAGCATTATTAGCCCAATTTTAAACATAAAGAAAACTGCCCATGGTCACACAATTAATGAGCTTCAGTAAGGACTCAAACTCACATGAGCATGACTTTGAAGCCCTTTGCTTATTCTTCAAAACTATGCTTCCTATTACACAGTTAAATAAAGTGAGATTTAGAGAGCAGAGTGCCTTAGTTAAAACCTGGTACTATGTTTTTCTTGAAGGAAAAAGTATCTATATGATTTCAAGAAATAAAAATCTTTTTCTTCTAGGGTAACATCTATATTATTAGTTATTCCTGGCAGATTAAATAAGCTTTCCTTTCTGCTGGTATCAGTGTGTGGAAACAAGAGGTCTAGAGTATAATTAATGTACCATTTCATGCCAGGAAAGACTTGCCAAGTGTCATGGTACACAGTGTGGATTCTGCAGCCCAGGAATGGTGATGTCCATCTACACGCTACTGAGAAACCACCCAGAGCCAACCCCTGAACAAATAACTGAAGCTCTTGGAGGTGAGCCTTCTCAGCGGGGCAAAGGGTGGAAAGATCAGGTAACTAGGAAGAAGGCTTCAGCCCATGGAGAAAAGTTACAGCAACACATTTGGCTTCAAGGAACTTCTAAGATGTCTTTTAAGGAAGAAGAGATGGAATGAGAAAAGCTTGATGAAGTGTCACCCTTCAGACATAATGGGAGATGTCAGATATACCAGTTGGGGGTGGGAAATAAATAAGGAAGAGTTGGTTGTGGAAAACTAAGGAGATTTTTGTGGTATTTCAGGAAGAAAATGTAATCACAAGATCTATTTTTGAAGAACATTTCTTCCAAAGGGAATGGTTGTTCCAAAGAGCAATTTTACTGGGTTTAGGGAACAAATAAGAAGCTAATCACTAATCTAACTATTCCCCTGGAAATATGAAGCACAGATATGAAGTATATTTTTATACCATTCCTTAAAAATTTATCCCTTTGAATCAGGTAATTTGTGCCGTTGTACTGGATACCAACCAATTATAGAAAGTGGAAAAACTTTCTGTGTGGTAAGTTTTTTAAAAATTCATTCTGTTGATTGAATATATTAATAGACTTTGCATAAAACAAAGATCCTTGATAGCACGGTGGTTAAAGCACTCATCTGCTAACCAAAAGATGAACAGCCCCTCCAAAGGGAAAAGACTAGGCAGTCTGCTTCCATAAAACTTGTAACAGCCTTGGAAACCCTATGAAGCAGTTCTACTCTGTCCTATTGGGTTATTATGAGTCAGACTTGACAGCAGTGAGTTTGTGTTTTTGAAAAATAAAACAATTTATTGCATTCAATAATGTCTAAAATAACTCCATGTTGACCCTCCTAACCACTAAAAGTTGTTAAATGCCCACTGTTTTGTATTTATTCAATAAACTATTAGTATCTATCTTGTTTATAGTCCTAAATTAGGCACTTCTTTAAGAAAAAAAGTATATGGTCCATGACTTCAAGCAATGTATACTCTATTGAGGAACACGAAACACAGACTAAGAAACAATAAAACCGTAATTGAAAAGCAAGATATTAAAAGCTCAAGATATCCTATAAGGCATGCATACAAGTTTTGATGGACCATAGATTAAAGAAAATTAATGAGTGGGAAAGGAAGAAACAGAAACTTAATGAAGAAAGGGAGTTTTGTGTTGGGTCCTAAAGGAAGTGATGGAAATGGATGGGTGAAGAGAAGCCAGTAGAAAATTCCAAGTAAGAAGATACATGGAATTAAGAAAAAGAAAGACATCCAAGGAAAATGAATTAATATGCTGGAGCATTAGGGAGCATAAAGATACTGTTTCTGGCTAAAGGATTTAGATGTAAAGATGATAACCAACACGTAGTCATCATTGTTTTCTCAAGCTAGGGTTAATACAATGAGAACAGTATTTCAGAAGGAAAATTCTTGCTTGTAGGAGAAAATTCTTGCTCTTGGGAAGAGACAGTGGGGGCTGAGGGCATGAACTAGTGCAATACCCCATGCTTGAGAGAATGAGAATCTAGACCATGGTGGCAGATGTGGAGACAGAAAGATAATTCTCAGGAAGGGGACTTCCAAAACCATGACCATCAGGCTGTGAAGGGTGCAGTCAGAAAGGAATCGAAGTCACCTTCAAAGCTGAGAGATGAAGGAGCCAGACAGGGATGAAGTTTATTTGGGCATCAAAAGTTTTAAAGGCAGTTTATCTTCCCAGGACTTCGTTAAAGACACATGCATGTCATCCTTAAAAATAAAGAACACCAGTCTGTTTGGATTTAGGTTTTTAATCACCACATTATAATTATACTTCATTTAGTAAGAAGTAGAAATCCTGAAAGAGCCTGGTAGCTAAAGTGTTCAGCTGCTAACTGAAGTTCAGAGGTCAAACCCACTAGCTGCTTCACAGGAGAAATATGTGGCAGTCTGCTTCCACAGAGACTACAGCCTTGGAAACTGTATGGGCGAGTTCTTCTCTCTCCTTAGGGTTCAAACCAAACCAAACTCACTGCCGTCCAGGCGTTTTCCAACTCATAGCGACCCCTCCTTGGGTTTCCAAGGTGGTATCTCTATGGAAGTAGATTGCGCAATCTTCCGTCTGAGGAGTGTAGTCTGGTGGGGTTTGAACCGTTAGCCTTCTGGTTAGCAGTCAAATGCCTTAGGCACTAGGCCACCAGAGCTGGCCCTGTAGGGTTACTGTTGTTATGTGCCGTCGAGTCAGACCTGACTCATAGCGACCCCTCCTTGGGTTTCCGAGGCAGCATCACTATGGAAGTAGATTGCCCCATCTTCCTTCCAAGGAGCGGCTGGTGGGTTTGAACCACCAGCCTTCTGGTTAGCAATCAGATGCTTAGGCACTATGCTACCAGAGCTCCTGTAGTGTTAGTTGTTGTTGTTGTTGTAGTAGAAATTGATTCATTGTCAATGGATTTTGGTAGGAAGCCTGAGCTAACTCACCCCACTCTCCTCTAATCCCATTGTCTTCCCCTAAAACTTTAGTGACATTGTTTACACAATGTATCATGAGCATGGCCTCACACCCCCTGTAATTTTCTCTAACTGATCAGTAATGAAATGACTGTTTCTCCACCCACCAGATTACAGAGTCCTTGAGGGCAAAGACTATTACTTCTTCCACAACTCCTGTGGGGCCTGGGACACTGCTGGGCACTCAGGTAGATGTTTAAAGAATCAACTAATAAATTTGTTTTGAACTGCATTTCTTCCTAAGAAAGCAACTGTTTGTCAACTGAAAAGGTCAGGAAAATGCTGCATGGATCAAGAAGAGAGATCTTTTCTGAATAAACCAGAAAAGGTAAGTATCTGGTTTTCCACTTCGATTGGGATTTGACTGAAAAATATACATACAAATCCAAATTTATTTTGGTTTCTATTCTTTTCAGTGAGTAAAATGCAAAATAGCTTAATTCAGGGTATTGTTTGTTGTTATGTGCCGTCGAGTCAGATCCAACCCATAGTGACCCCTCCTTGGGTTTCTGAGGCAGTATCACTATGGAAGTAGATTGCCCAACCTTCCTTCCAAGGTATGGCTGGTGGATGTGAACCACCAGCCTTCTGGTTAGCAGTCAAGTGCCAATTCAGGGTATAAACATACTTAAAAAGCTCTAAATGTTAGTGAGCTCATAATTTTCATAAGACTGGAACACAGAATGCTATTATCCTTCTGGAAATATTACAACTTCCCTTCTCTAATCTGGATCTATCCACCACTCCCTCAATAAGCACAAAGAGGGCCATAAACAGTGGTGCACCTTCATGTTCATAGAAAATAAATATCCACAAATGATACCTGAATCTCAGCACAGAATGGTAAAACCCAATTTCTGACCCCAAATGAGAAAGCCCATGGTCCAGGAAGTCTGCCAGGGAAACCACCCCCATGTTTCTCTGGGGATGGAAAACACTCCATTAGAATGGCCTCTATTTTGTTTCAGGGAGTCAAAAGTGTCAGCCCTGACTTTGAAATCACTCACAGATTCCTGTCCGGCTTTCAGTAACTGTGAAGGTCCATTTTTATTTTGTTTAGATATGCACAAAACTGTATAATGAAGATGAATTCCAGCCCTTGGATCCATCCCAGGAGCCTATATTCCCTCCTGAGCTGATAGTAAGATATTTTACTTTTGTTATCTATTCACCATTTACACATAACATGACATGGTATTTTTGGTATTATACTATGTAATTATACTCTGCAATTACTGAGATTTTTACATTAAAAGTTGGAAGGGTGTCCTGAACAATAGTGGGTCAACCACCCACTTTTAGGAACTTGATCAGCTTCACCATAAATAATTTAAAGCAGACAGCTTAGAAGAGTGGTGTTGTCAGAACCTCGGTATCTCTGGTTCAACTCCTTCAGTTAAAGACCCTGAGGGTCAGAGTGTAAATGATTGCCCAAGGTCAACAGCTCCACTGTGAGACAGGTATTAAGACTGAACTAAACTAAACCAAACACACTACCATCAAGCTGGACCCGACTCACAGCCACCCCTCCTTGGGTTTCCCAGGCAGTATCTCTATGGAAGTAGATTGCCCAACCTTCCTTCCGAGGAGTGGCTGGTGGGTTTAACCGCCAGCCTTCTAGTTAGCAGTCAAGTGCCTTAGGCACTACGCCACCAGAGCTCCTTTTGTAAGACTAGTAAACAAAAAAAAGTGAATTATAGGTATTATAATGAAATTGCATTGTTCTTCCAGTGAACCTCTGTGATTTCAACTCATGGTAGAGGGGAAAAGTAAGAGAATAATTTAAATAGTGTAATGTGCCCGCCATTTTGTTCTATGATCATATGCACTGGAGAGAGCATGAGATGAGAGACATGATTCTGTCGGCTCTTCAGAAGGTCTGTTTTTATTTATTTAAAGATACAAATGTAATATATATATGTTTATGTATATAGATACATATATATAACAGAGTTATAAAAAGAAAAAAAAGTCCATTTACACTGTATGTAGTAAATGATTTAAGAGATTTTATTCAAGGATACTTCTGCCTATAAAAAATTTGAATCCTGCAATAAAACCTAATCGCCAAAGATGAGTCTCCGCGGGATCATTGTTCAGGCAGAACTACAACAAGAAGCTGGACACTAATTCCCAGGCTAAGATGCTTTCACTGTACCATGCTGCCTTCTCCTCACACGTTCACTTTCCAAACATAACCAAAACGAAACCCACTGCCATTGAGCCACTTCTGACTCATAGCAACCCCCATTGAGTTTCTGAGGTGGTAAATCTTTACAGAAGTACATTGCTTAGGCTTCCTTCTGCAGAGTGGCTGAGTTTGAACCACCAACCTTCTGGTTAGCAGTCAGATGCCTTAGGCGCTGTGCTACCAGAGCATTTACTCGATTTCCTATTACTGATGGGCTGAAACCTATTAAAATGTTTATTCAATGATGCCCACATGAGTTACATCCATCTGGGTGGTTTTAAGAAGGCAACTCTTTTCTGACCCTGGAAGCTGGATAACCTTGGAAAGTTCAATGAAATATTTGACCAGCAGAATGCTTGGATGCTCAGAGCTTGTTCAAAAGCCTTAACTGAAAGCCCTTTGGCTTTGTTTCTCTGCAGAGAATGGCAGAAGATCCAAACAAGAGAAGGCTGACATTCCAAGGGGAGAGGACCACGTGGATCATGCCTGTGACTCTGGACGACGTTCTGGAGCTGAAAGTCAACTTCCCCGAAGCCCCCCTCATCATGGGGAACACTGTAGTGGGTGGGTGGTTTCTATGCATGTTCTTTAGTCTACATTAGGCAATCCAAACATCTTTGCCTTTCTTTAAATCCTTAATGAATGAAATTCATCTTTATTAATGGATATCAATTGTCCTTCAAAGGAGCTCTGGCTGCTTTAGTGGTTAAAGCATTTGGCTGCTAACCAAAAGGCTGGTAGTTAGAAATCACCAGCCACTCAGAAGGAGAAAGATGAGGCAGATTGCTTCTGTAAAGATTCCAAAACTAAACCAAACTCACTGCCATCAATTCAGATCCAACTCATAGCAACCCCTCCTTGGGTTTCCGAGGCAGTATCATTATGGAAGTACATTGCCCAGTCTTCCTTCTGAGGAGGGCTGGTGGATTTGAACTACCATCCTTCTGGTTAGCAGTCAAATGCCGTAGGCACTACACTACCAGAGCCTTGGAAACCCTACAGGACACTTCTACTCTGTCCTATAGGATTGCTATGAGTCAGAATTGACTGGAAGTCAGTGGGTTTGGTTCTGGATGGTCTTTTAAAATACTTTGTTGTGTTCTTTTGCTAATGAGTCACTTTAGTCACAATTTTTCCTCTGGATAATCAGTAAACAAGATCTACCAGCATCCATTGTCTTTCTTTTCTAACTGCCTTAAATCCATTTCCCCTTAAGGACCCAGCATAAAATTCAAAGATGCATTCTATCCAGTTTTTATATCTCCACTTGGGCTTCCACAACTACACTTTGTGGACACCACAGATGATGGTAAGCACCTTCTTTTTCAAATAAGATGTCACTGTTGGCTGGTGATGGGATGCTGGTAATCAAATACATGCACTGGGCTAATCTGAGCACTAAATAGTTTATTCATTTATCTATTCAACAAATATTTATTGGGCACCTAGTATGTGTCCTCTATGAGTTTTTTTCAAACTGACTCAGTTGCATCACTGATACTACATTGTCATGTTGTTGTTGTTGTTATTGTTATTAGGTGCTATCGAGTCAGCTTCAACTCATAGTGACCCTATGTACAACAGAATGAAACACTGCCCAGTTGTGCACCATCCTCACATCCTTGTTATACTTGAGTCCATCTCTGCAGCCACTATGTCAACCTATCTTGCTGAGGGTTTTCCCCTTTTTCCCTTTCTACTTTACCAAGCGTGATAGCCCTCTCCAGAGAATGGCTCCTTCTGACAACATGACCAAAGTAGGTGAGATGAAGTCTGGTCTTTCTATCTTCCAAGCAGTGTTCTGGCTGCACTTCTTCCAGGACAAATTTGTTCATTCTTCTGGCAGTCCCTGGTATTTTCAGTGTTCTTCACCAACACCACAATTCAAAGGCATCAATTCTTCTTTGGTCTCCCTTATTCATTGTCCAGCTCACTTGACTGCTAACCATAAGGCTGGCAGTTCAAACCCACCAACCACTCCTCAGAAGGAAGACTGGGCAATGTACTTCCATAATGGTACTGCCTCAGAAACCCAAGGAGGGGTCACTATGAGTCAGGTCTGACTCTATGGCACATAACAACAACAACATGAGGCAATTGAAAACACCATGGCTTGGGTTAAGTGCACTTAATCTTCAAAGTGACATCTTTGAATTTCCTAGGATTGAAATTGTCATATGAGCCATAATGTCAAGTGGCACTGCCAGTATAGAGTGATTGGCTGAATAAGAAAACTACAGACTTTTTGGACAGTAGGAAAGGTTCTTGTCAGATGTTACTTCATGATTCACAAATTTGCTGCAGGACCATGGCACACATAAACATGCACACACACACACACAAAAAAAAAAAAAAAAATCTGGGCCAAAAATCTGACATTTTAACTACAAATAACCTTATTTATTTTCCCAATTTACCAAGCTGTTCTTTCACATCTCATGTGTCTTGATTCTATGACAACTTTGGGAAATAAACATGACAAGTAGCCTTGATAGCTCCATTATACTCAAGAAGATGCAGAATTAAAGAGCTTAATTAATTTCCTCATACACAAGAAGTCAGGACTAGATCCTAGTTCTTCTTACTCTTAGTCAAGTACTTCTTCCACACAATGGACTGAATAAAGTTACCTGAAAAACATTTCCCTCCATCCACTATGCAAACTAGACACTCGAAGGGCTAAGAGTCTAAAGAAACTAAAAAGCCTACATAAAAAAGGATTCTTCCCATTGAGTAAACAGAAATCACCTGGGAAATGGTTTGCTTTCCCCTGTGATCTGCAATTCTTAAGTCAGTCAACCCATTCATTTTTCACCTGCTAGGAAGTCCATGTCAGTAGGCTCTCAGGAAGAGATGGAGCAAAGGGAGGCCAAGCAGGTGTATGAGAGGGTTGGGAGCAAGGTCTGGAGGTCCTTGGTTGGGGTGAGATGAGCACTACTATATAACAACTGAGAGAAGGAACAGCCATCTACATCTGTGTGCTTGTTGGATGCTATCAAGTTAACAATGACTCCATGACACAGTAGAGCTGCCCTATCAGGTTTTCTAGGCCATAATCTTTACAAGAGCAGATCATCAGGTCTTTTCTTCCTCAGAGGCATTGGTGGATTCAAACCACCAACCTTTTAGTTAACACCCAAGCACCTCACCATTGTGCCACCAGGGTTTCTCTATATATATAGTGCCTAAGGACTTTGACTGCTAACCAGAAGGCTGGCAGTTCAAACCCACGAGCCACTCCTCAGAAGGAAGATTGGGCAACCTACTTCTGTAGTGACACCACCTCAGAAACCCAAGGAGTGATCGCCATGAGTCTGCTAAAATGGCAAGGAGGCCGCATGTTCTGACGTCCTCTAATTCCACAAGACAGAATCACCATCAATAGCCCAAGGCCTATTCCTGTGAGGCCAGACATGCTGCCTCCCTCCAGCCCTTTCTCCAACCGTTCCTCCCAAAGCACCCACCACCTCTCTCCTGGGTTCAATAATTCTCTGAAGTGGCCACACAGAACTCACAGATTATGAGGTTTATTAGGGAAGCACCAGACTACAATTCGAGTTCAGGAAAAAAATGCTCAATCTCCCTCCCAGCCCACCATCTCTCAGCCAAGTCTTTCACAGTCTCTCCACCAGCAGTGCATGTCCCTCGGTGTCTTACTCAGCAATGTGTGTCTCTTGCGTCTCTTTCCCAGCAGCACATGTCTCTTTCAGGAGCACGTGTCTCCTTCGGCAGCACATCTTCCTCAACCAGCAGTCAGAGAGAGTTCTGCCTCTAGGCCTCCTTTTGAGCTTGCCAGATTGGCCAAACCAACCAATCATAACAACAGAATTCTAAGCACCTGAGAGTGAACCTCCCATAACATTGCATTGTGCCACACCCAACAGAAATAACCCGGGTGGATAACATTTACAATCAGGAGCTCCTCAGTTGCTCATTCCACCACTGAGTTTACAATGACTCATGGATAGAAAAGCCATACTAAGTAATTTACTACACTGCAGAGTCTAATCGACTAGACAGTAGTGTGGTTTTATATAGACATATATATCTCCACTCTAATTATGATGATGAGGACTGGGGAGGTGGAACCTGTAGGAGAAGGCCAGTGTTTCTCAACTTTTCTTTGTTGTTTTTAGATGTATTTTGCCTGATTGCCCCCCCATAAAATGTTAATGCCACAGATATACTGTGTGTCTTTTCATACGGTATGTATATCTATACATTAAAAAAAAGTGACGTTTGCCCCTTAGAAGCAGTATTGCCCTCACTGAGAACAAATGGACTAGATGACATCACTATTCATATCACTCTTGGTAAGCACACTTGAAAATAAAACTGACCCAAGTTATAAGCTGGTGTCTATTCTCATCTTTTTTATATAGGAGCAATATGAAGAGATGACTAGGGAAGGAAGGGTAAATGGACAGTAAATATGTTGCAAGTCAAATCGCATGTAGCCTTACTCACTGCTGTCTAGTCGAACCTGACTCACAGCGACCCCTCCTTCAGTTTCCAAGGTGGTTTCAGTACAGAAGTAGGTTGCCCAACCTTCCTTTCAAGGAGTGGCTGGTGGGTTTGAACCACCAACCTTCTGGTTAGCAGTCAAATGCCTTAGGCACTACGCCAAAAAGTTTCATAGGACTTTGACTAGGGTGTTTTCATTTGATCACTTTATTCAAAAAAAACACTTTATTCAGGGAACAAATGAAGTAATGAATTTTAAATACATATCTTAAAATGCATAGCATATGTGACTGTATATATACATGACTGAGGTAAATGATTTGGTACTTCATATTTGGGAATAAAGCAAATTGTCAAAGTTATCATTGGTGTTTGTCATTCTAAGTAAATTTGAAAAAGGAAAATACATTTAAAAGATTATTTCCATGCAACTATATCTTGTTATAAGGAGCTCTGGTAGCATAGTGCCTAAGGCACTTGACTGCTCACCAGAAGGCTGGCGGTTCAAGCCCACCAGCCACTCCTCGGAAGGAAGGTTGGGCAATCCTACTTCCGTAGTGATACTGCCTCGGAAACCCAAGGAGGGGTCGCTATGAGTCGGGGCCGACTCGACGGCAAACAACAACAACAACAACAACAATATCTTGTTAGAGTTCACTTCAAGCTTATGTTCTAATTTCTTATTTTCAGGAGTGACAATAGGTGCAGGGTACAGCCTGGCCCAGCTGACTGATGCCTTACTCTTTACTGTTTTGGAGCAACCAGAAGAAAAGACTAAGACCTATCGTGCTCTCCTGAAGCATCTGAGGACATTTGCAGGAGCTCAGATTAGGAATATGGCAGTATGTTATGTATTCGTATATAGAATAAGTCATGCAGTTCTGTTCAGTTTTATGAAAAGTTACTCTGAAGAGGAATTCCAAGCCAAGTTGAACAACTCTCTATAATATGAGTGTGAGTGTGTGTGTGTATGTGTCCAAAGTGAGAGGTATCACATTATGTGTAGTGTGTGTCCAAAGCGAGAGATCACACATAATATATATGACACAGTGTCTGCAACAATGGGCTCAAACACAACTATTGTCAGGATGGCACAGGACTAGGCAGTGCTTCATTCTGTTGTACACAGGGTCACTATGAGTCAGAACCCATTCAACAGTATATATATATATATATATATATATATATAAAGTAGTGGAGTCCAAAGGGGAGCTCTGGTGGTATAGTGCCTAAGGCATTTGACTGCTAACAAGAAGGCTGGTGGTTCAAACCCACCAGCCACTCCTCAGCAGGAAGGTTGGGCAATCTACTTCCGTAGGGATACCACCTCAGAAATCCAAGGAGGGGTCGCTATGAGTCAGAAATGACTCGACAGCAATGAGTTTGGTTTTTCTTTTGGAGTCCAAAGACTCCCAAATTCTAATCCTAACCTGTCACCAGCAAACATTATGACCCAGGAGAAGTCATTTCACCTCTTCATTTTAAAAATTAAGGCTGAACCAAATAGATTTTCTCTAAGATATTGTCCAGCTCTATGAAATATACCTCATTCAAGGTATAGTAAACAACTTTCAATCTTTTTTATGGCTAGTTGTACTGCTAGGACTTTGCACAGAGGTCAGTTTCTAAACATTGATATCCCACATGTCCATTCTTGGATATTTCCCAGTTGTCTAGCTTATTAGAGTTTCATTATTATTTAAGATTTAAGAATAATTGATTCGAACCACTATATTCCACATACGACGGGTTTAGTGGGATTTGTGGGTGGGGGAATGTCGGATATGCATCTCTTCTGATTGTCTCTGCTTTTTCTGCTGATTCTTGAAATCCACCATGTGTTTTCACTGTCCACATCTTCTTCTGTTTCCTTAATAAAAGGATTCTATCACATCCTTAGAGTTTACTCAGGCTCCACCCTCCCCACCTCATTACCATGTTGTTGGACCCTCTTTTGACCCTTTAGCCATCCCTCCTTTCTCCCTAAACTGCTGACCCTAGCCCCATTCATTTTGATTTCCCTTTGTTTATCTTCACAAGTAAACATTCATATCAGAGAACAGTCTTAAAGAGAAATGCATGCAAAGGTCAGTTCTCAAAAAAATGTTTCTTCCTTGTTCCACATGGAAAATGACTATTTTCTCAGACATTAAGTTTGGACTGGGAACAGGGGTGGAAATCTTGTATGATATGTTGTCTGGATCTATTTAAATTCCCCAAAACTCTGCCAAATCTTTCTATGAGCCAAAGAAGAAAATTTAAAACTTAGACAAGCTCCCTGTATGCATAATTCATTGTTTGTCAAATAACTAAGTGTGGCTAAAAAATATGTCATCTTTTTTTATTTAGACTTTAGGAGGACATGTGGTGAGCAGGCCTAATTTTTCTGACCTAAATCCCATTTTAGCAGCAGGAAATGCTACCATCAATCTGAGGTCCAAAGGTAAGAGATCAAGTTTTAAGCATCCTGTTTTAAAATTAACAACCACAAAGATGGGCTCAACCAAACAAAGTACAGGCATGTGAGTTAAACATTTACCTCAAGTAGACACACGCCCTGGAGAGAACAATCATGGGAGAAGGAAGGGCTGCTTATGCACAGGGAGACAGCTCAGGGCGCAGGAGAGTATGGAGAGATGGACACTGGGAGGAGGTAACTATGGGGAGGAAGTGGGAGGGGAGCTGCTGCATTGTAAATTTTGGTCAATGACATGAGACAAAGTATATGTGAACTGCTGTATGAAAAGTGAATTTACTCTGTAAATCTTCACCCAAATCCTAATATAAATAAATAAATAAATAATGAAAAGATGGGCTCAAAACATACCAAATGATCATAAAAATAATGTAGAACTGGGCAACGTTGTATTCTATTATACACAAGGTCACTGTGAGTCAGAGCTGACTGAACACCAACAGTTTATAATTACCACTGTCAGTTATATAGCTCCATGCATAAACTATGAATCAGGGACCCAAGTATACCTAATTTAAACACAACAAATAAATATAGAGTGTATTTATATTGCCTCAAACGTTAAGGATGAAAGTGGGATCAATTATCCTGCTATCCAAAATGCTCTGTATCCTGTAGATCTATTGTATATGCAATTTTTCTTAGCTATTTGGTCAATATTTTAAAAATATTTATACACAGCCCAAGTTGTAAGACCAAAGTAGTTAAAATATTAATGACAAGTATCTTTGTGATTTTAAAGGTTTGTAGCATAATTCATTTCAGAGTTACATAAACATGGCAGTTCTTTTTTCTTGTTGACAATAATTGACCATAGTTGATTGTTCAAATAAGCACATTATCCACGGGTGGTATTGTTTATTTTTAAGCCAATCTATTATTTGGTGGAAAGGTGACCTGCAGAAATAGCTTCAATTCCAAGTTCAAAGGGTATCTTAGGCTGATAGTCTGAAGGGTTCCTTAGTGTCTATCAGATCAGTAAATCTGGTCTTTTTTAGGAATTTGTGTTTTGTTCTACATTTTTCTTCCATTCTATCTGGGACCTTCTTCTATTGTGTCCCTGGTTAGAAGGGTCAATAATCATAGCCAGGCACCATCTAGATCTTCCTCAGAAGAGGACGTGGTTTGTATGGGCTATTAGTCCAGGCTTACAGGTGAAGAGAGACAACGCAGGGACACCAGAGTAGCAGGCCGGAAGAGCAGGGAAGGGGATAAAAGCCTTGAACCTGGACAGAAGAGCAATCAGCCAGAAGAGATTAGGTGAGGAGGGGAAACTCAGGCCCGCCCAGAGTAGCAGGCCGGAAGAGCAGGGAAGGGGATAAAAGCCTTGAACCCGGACGGAAGAGCAGTCAGCCCCAGGCTTACAGGTGAGGAGAGACAACGCAGGGAT